ATAACGACGAACCTAATGTGAAGATGCTTTTTCTTGATTTTTTTCTATAACTTCAATTAATTTATGACAATATTTTCTACCATTGTTCATGTCATTCATTGCGCTCACACCATGCTTCACAAAATACTCAATCAATCTAGCAAATGTTGCTTTGACTAGGGTAGTAATTAGGAGATTTCTTACCCCTTTTAAAACCTTATTGACTGACTTTGACAAATTAGTAGTCATGTACTCATAACGCTATCATCATTATAAGCCAAACTCCACTTTTCCTTTGATATGTTGTCAATTCAAGTTTGAATTTCGGAAGAATATAAACAAATTGTATTAAGCTTTGCTTCAAATCTTTGCTTGTAGGGTGTACATGCTATATTTAAAGAGTTGATAGGGTTAATGGTGAAATATATATATATATATATATATATATATATATATAGATTAATTAATCTAAATACACAAATGTTACCAAAAAAACCTTACCTAACTTTATGAGCATGCTCTTCAAGGTGGTATTTTTGAATCTTCTATTAAAATTGCTTGCAATGTGACAAATGCAATAAATATAGTAAGCATTAGGAGGTTTCTACCCAATGTGTGGATTAGACACAACACCTTTGATACTTTGATAGTGATTAGATATCAAACAAATTTTGGTCTTCTCAATAACATTCAGATGAATCATTACTAAGAATCATTCTTATGCTGATAATGTTTCTCCTTCAACAATGACAAACGCTATAGGAAGCACACTATTATTGTCATCTTGAGTTGTGGCAATTAGCAATGTTTGCTTGTACTTACCATATAAAAAAGGTATCGTCTACTTGTATTATAAACTTACAAAACTTGAAGGCTTTATGACATTGCCTAAATGACCAAAACAATCGATGAAAGACTCTAAATCTATTATCCACTACATTACTTCTAACATAATCATTGGTCTCAATTTTGTAAACTGACCCAGAAGCATGTAATTGCATGTATTTTAACCATCTTGGCAATGTTGTATATGATTAATCTCAATCACCAAATATAGTTACAATTGTTTTTTGTTTTGCTTTCCATGTTTTTTTGCATGAAATTGAATACCCAAATTACCCAATTATTCTCTCTTGGATTAATGAAACTGGCACTGATGGTTCTTGTTTGATCATAATTGTCAATAAAAATAAACAATGTGTCTTAGCTAATTATAATTTAAACATCATTTAAAAAAAACAAACAAAAATTAAATCAATTGAAATTCACGTACCAAGAATGCATGAACAAATCAATTTGAATCCAATTTTTTGTGGTATTGAAAAATCATGGTATTTACATATGTATGCATACCATCCCATTTCATAATTTTTCACTTATTTGTATTTTGGAGAACAATGCTAAATAAATTATTTAACTACTTAAACAAATACTAATAGAAAATATTACAAGAACATTAAATTAAAAGAGATTTATATTTACATTTTCAATATTTTACTTACACTAAATAAATTATCATAGCACCACAAATATTTTTAATTTAATATATTCATAATAATATTAATATTATTATTTAAAACTTAATTGCAAAATTTGAAAAATTAGAACTTCTAACCTTCAACTCCTACAAATTCAGTTTCTTCTAAACTTTTCTCAACCAATACACATCATGACATCTATATATATATATATATATATACTTTAAATTGAGTAAAAACTAATGGATAAAAGAGTATAATCTTCTTTAAATTGCAAGATAAAAAGCATTAGTAATCGCATGACGTACCAGGCAAGTGTTGGAGTCTAAGTAGCCAACACATTGTAAAGTGTCAAAATTCAATATATCGACACACAAGTGTCACAAAAAAATCAACCAACATATAAGTGTCGGACTATTCTTAACCGACACATATACCACGTGGCAGAAATCTAAATTAGTGTCGATTGTTACTTTGTCGACACTTTTTTTTAAATTAATATAAATTGTGTCATTATGTTGTAAGCTGACACTCTACATAAAAAATAAAATTTAACATGTGTGTCGGCAAGAAAGTTGACAATACTATATTAATTCCATTACGAGCAGCGTAATCACCCTATTTGGAGAAATTGTTTCTCCATTCACCCCATTTCAACAAAAAAAAGCCACCAAATGTGGATCATAGATATTGTGTAAGACAAATTTATTTTAATTTTGCAAGAAAAAAGAAAGAAAAAAAAGTACAAGGATACGTTGCAGGCGTATGCTAGAACTACAAAAATGGTGGAGTTCAACAGGTGCATGGAGAAGTTGAAGCAATATGATGAACATGCTTGGATATGCCTTAAAAAAATTAATCCAAAGATGTGGATAAAAGTTGTTTTCAGTCCTTACCTAAGTCTGGTATTGACTAACAATATGTGTGATCAATTTAATTCTAAATTTTTATAGTGAGGGGGAAGTCAATTGTGTTCTCATGTGAAAATTAAGACTTTATTTTAAAAAAATATTGATAGATAACACTTTAAAATAAGAAAAATTTAAAAATAATGAAAAGGACTTAATTAGAAGAAGAATATGTACTAGAGTCCAACATAATATTAAACGCTTAAAATGAGATAATCAATTAGTGTATGCAACATGCATAAGAGATCCTGCATAAACAAATTTTGAATTATTTCATGAAACTCAAACAAGGTTTGTTGTTAATCTTAAAGATCAGACTTTTAGTGGTAGAGTTTGGAAATTACGTGACATTTATTGTGTCAACACCAAGTATTCAAGGCCAAAATCCACAGCAAGACACCCGACAAAAGATGAAAAGAAGACTAGTAATGACATGCTCAATTTGTGGAAAAGGTCATAACGAAAGATCTTGCAATCAGCTCAAGGTAGTAACAAACCTACCTTTCTCTTGTCATTCTTCCACTTCAACGTGTGTTCTTTCAACTCTATTACTTTGTTAAATGGCTCATAAAATTTTGCACAATGAGAATCTAGTTCTTTAAAGTTAGACTTCTTTGCTCCATTTGTTTGCAACTCGGCCCGTTGGAAGAAATTGCACCTCATGTCGAGAGATCTGAAAAAAAAATAAAAAAATTCATAAAACTTTTTTCTTGTATTTAGTCCCGTTTTAATTTCAACAGGACAACATCTAAACCATTCTCACATACTCTTTGTATAGTAACTGAACAAGAGGATGTCCCTCGCCCACCCTCTTGAGCTCTTGCAAGGGTTGTTTCTTAAAAAATGGAACCCAAAGAATGTAACGGATACAAATAGAAATCAAGTACAAAAATTGATACAGAATACAACGGCGTTAGGGACCAAATCTGTATTTAAGTCTATAAAATGGGCTTGGGGGGGGGGGGGGGGGGGGGGAGGGGGGCAAATTTATTATAATATTGTAAATTAAAAAATAATTTATTATTTTATAACAAATTTGCAACAATTTTCCTATCTGAGGTTTTTTTGTCATGTGGATCAAATTTTCGCCAAACGGCTGGCAAAAGTAATTAATTTTTGAATTTTTTAATATCTATTTCGCCATAAAAAGTACGCAATATGACTTCTTAGAGCGGTTAATTTAAAACCGTTCTCATAAGTCTATTTTAGAGAGCGGTTCAGTAGTCTCTTTTAGAGAGCGGTTCCTTTTGAACCACTCTAAGTAGTAATTTTAGAAAGCGGTTCACATATTAGAGAGCGGTTCTGCCGGAACCGCTCTCTTAGATTTAAAATGAACGGCTGGGAAGATTTTGATACACGTGGCAATATCTGAGATGATTCGCGCTGCTACTGGCGAAAGTTTATTTCGCCCTATAGTTAGCAAAACCGACGGTCCTCCTTGATACATGTTTTGCCTTGTTAAGAAGATAGGTTAAATTAAGATTTATAATATTTGTTTACAGGAATTATTATAGATATTTATTAAAATACAGAATAATAAAAATTGAGTTAAATAAAATAATTATATAAAACTAAATATAATAATTTATACTTAGTTTGATTGTAATAAATAATTTTTACACTTATATTGAAGTAAAATTTTAAAATTGTAAAATTTTAAATGCAGTAATCATAATTTATATGAAATGTATGTATAAAATTTGTATGTAAATAATAAAATTTTTTACTTTTAAAAACATAATATAATTTATATGATTATAAACTAAATGTAATATATGTAAATTTAAATTAGAAAAATGAAAAAATAAAAATATAATTTAATTTTATGCTAGTAATTAGAGTTTTGTATTTATATAAAATTTATGTAGATTTAAATTAGAAATATAAAAAAATAAAAATGTAATTTAATTTTATGCAGTAAGTAGAGTTTTGTATTTAAATAAAATTTGTATGTAAATAATAATATTTTTTACTTTAAAAAACGTAATAGTTTTTATATAATTATAAATTAAATATAATTTATGTAGATTTAAATTGGAAATATGAAAAAATTAAATTTTTTTTTAATTTTATGCTAGTAATTAGAATTTTGTATTTATATAAAATTTGTATGTAAAATTTATGTAGATTTGTATGCAATTGGCTGTATATACCTAAGAGAGCGGTTCCCGCAGGACCGCTCTCTAATATGTACTTCTCTAAAATGAGTTATGAGAGCGGTTTTAAATTAACCGCTCTAAGAAGTCATATTTCGTACTTTTTGTGATGAAATAGATATTAAAAAATTCAAAAATTAATTACTTTCGCCAGCCGTTTGACGAAAATTTGATCCACGTGGCAAAAAAACCCCAGATTAAACAATTGTTTCAGATTTGCTATAAAATAATAAATTATTTTTTAATTTATAATATTATAATAAATTTGCCTTTCGGGGGTTAGATGAGTTGTCCAAATAATGATCACTTCACCGTGCAGTTTTATAATTATCCATCCTCTTGCTCCAAGAAATTCAGCATTAGTGAAAGGCTAGAGTTCAGCACATCAGTTTATATAATTTCAAATCCGAGTTTACTTCACATCTTGCACTTGTCACGGGAACTCAGTTCAAGCGGCTACGATGCGCATAATCCTTTTACTAATACTCTTTCGAAAGAAAGATTCATTTAAAAAACTACTGCCAGGTACATTGAGAAAATTAATAAATAGCCAGTAATTTATAAAACTAAGCTAATTACTTAAGATCCATTTTCTTTAACCCATGGCGTCAGACTTTGAAAATAAATTAACGCAGGTATATTCAGAGACAATCCGAAAACGTTTACAATGATACACTACTCTTCATCAGTTGAGAAAAAAGTGACGACAAACTAACCTACGTCCTTCCTCACTGTGTTAAACAACCTACTACCATTCTTTGACATAACAAAAACTGTGGGTGACGTAGAGCTCAATTGCGTCACCAACAGTAACTTCCAAGAACTTAAAAACCAAAGAAGCCAAGCTCGCTTGCTCTCTCTTTCTCAAATGTCTCGAAGTACTGATAGATGATTGTTACTGCAAGTAATATTCCTGTTCCTGAACCAATGGCCCCCATGAAATCTGCCAACACTGTCAGGGCACCAATACACATGCCACCAAATGCTGCAGCGGTGGGAATGTATCGGTTCAGTTCTTTCTGCAAGTTTGACTCCCGATGTCCAGGCATTACCATTTGTTGTTCCTGCAAATTGATAGAATAGATCAATTTTAATAACCAACCGAGTGGATTCAGCTGACTCGTGAATTTTACCACAAACTACAAAAAAATATCATTTTCCATCCGGTTCAATGAGTGCTTCGAGATAAGACTGATTAACTTACAAAAAGAAGTACCAATGAAGTTGTCAAGAACCTAGAAACAATATATCTTTTAGGTAGTGTTTGACCTAATTTTCTAGGACTGCTAGATCCTTTTATAAAAATACTAGTATTTTTTGGCTTTTGATCTCTAAACAAAAAACAATTTAGGAAGCGTTTGAAAAAAAATTATACAGCTTATAAAAATAAGTTATAATTCTCAAAAAATCTTTTTAGCTTATTGAAATAAGTTTTTTGTTATACCAATAAGTTTTGTGGTCATATTTACTTTAAACACTCATAAAACAAGCCTGTTGAATAAGCGCTTAATTAAGTTGTGTACTCAATCACTCCCTTATTTTGGGAGTCTTTCTAAAGTTGTGTTTGGTTTGGCTTCTCCTTTTAAGGAGAACAGAAGCTGAGCCACATACTACCTTAGACACGATATTGCCTATAATGTAAACCATTTAAACTCACTCATGGCTCTTTCTGCTTCATGTGTATTAATTGGAGATTTCCATTATTAAGTTGCTTCAATTGGGAAACAAGACCTCCAACATCTCAAAACAGTACAAATTACACAGCTTATGAAACAGATGGAACTCATATTATGAACACCTCAAAACAGCATACATCACACAGCTTATGAAACAGATAAACTCATATTATGAACATGGATAATGAGAAAACAGGCTAGTTATATTGATGCACTAAAGTGACAGGTGCAAACAAAATAAATTTGAAAAAATTGCATGCTAATCAATACCTTCAGCTGTTTGGCAACATCTCTGGCAGATGAACCAGAGACTTCAATCCAAGTTTTTGAGAACAGGGCACAGGCAGACAACATAAACACAAGATAGAATAATGCATGAAAAGGATTGGCAGCCATATCAGCTAAGCTGCAAAAGAACAAAAAAAAATTATCAAAATGAAAATTGTGAGCTGATAATAATAAACAACACTAAATATATGTTGGGTTGAGGTTTTAGATCATATTGTTATAACAAAGAACACAGAAATTTACAGTTTTATAAACAAATACAATGGGAAGCACTTCTCTTACCTGGAAGGTGCAGTGATGTAGTATGCAATACCACCGACAGGAATAGACTGACCACCTCCATATTCAGACTCCTTCCATTTGCCCAACAGATTTACAAAGAAGTTTCCACTGTACTTTCTATGTAGAAGCTGTACAAATCCAATAAAATTTTGTTAAAACAGTAAAAAAAAATAAAAATACTCCAGGTGACAATCTACCATCATAAAACTCCACTACCTGGGAAATGAAGTAGAGATTGGAAACAAGGGCAGATTGAAGAATAATGGGCATGTTGGAGGTATAAAATAGTTTGATTGGATATGAACCCTGCTGTCCACGAGCATTCTTTGATCTCACAGGCAAAACCACACGGAAACCTTGGAAGTATATCACAATTAGAAAGATCAAGACAGTAGCAAGCAGATTTGTGACATTGGGAAGATTCTGCCGGTAAAACGCTTCTCGAAGGGCACGAACCTTGTCTGTTCTAGTTATCAGCAAATGGAATAGAGCAATAACTGCACCCTCAAATTCGGCTCCCCGTCCACTATTAATTGTGGTTGGACTAAATGCTTTCCAAATAATGTTTTCACTGTAACAAAATGAGAGAATTCACCTAAGTTTATACTTTGTTTAATAGTTGCTATGAGACAAAAAACTCAATACAACAACAATAACCAAATACTATCCCACTAGGTGAGACGACTACATGAATCATATGACAATATTGAACTCTGTCAAAAACCAAATTTAGACAAAAAGCTCAATGCTGGATATAAATTATTAGTAACGAAAAGGGGGATCATAAAACTTACCATATATTAGTGGCAATGAAAAGAGAAATTCCAGATCCCAAACCATATCCTTTTTGAAGGAGCTCATCTAAACATATCACAATGATACCCGCAAAACAGAGCTGGAGGATGATGAGGATGGCATTTCCCACTCCAAGTTGACCCACACTACCATACATCCCAGAAAGAACATAGGCAACTGCTTCGCCAACAGCTATCAAGATGCCAAGTAGCTTCTGTGCTCCATTTCTGGGAGAGAAAAACAAAATCAATAAGCACCATATATAAATCTACATGCAGATGAGGTCAAACAAAATTTGCCACCATATAGAAACACAACCTCCTTCAAAAATATGTAGAAAACCAAAAGAATTGACAATCATCAGAAATAACCCAGCACACATGCTAATAACTTCTATACACCACTAAATGATGCAATGTGCGAAAAATTGACAACCACTAAAGCAACCAGCCTAAATCACTGGCATTGTAAAAGGAAAAAAATATAAAATCATGTACAAAGAAAGATACTTACAAGAGAGCACGATCCTCCCGTACATTGTTGTCCACCTCAATGATCTTTGAACCAGCCAAAAGTTGCATTACCAGTCCAGAAGTCACAATTGGGGTGATTCCCAGCTCCATAACAGTTCCACGGTTAGAAGCAAGGATAACTCGCATCCAATAGAATGGATCTGCACCTGTTGTTGAGTGTATTCCATACAGAGGGAGTTGACTACAAACTAAGAAAATGAACAGAGAGATCACAGTATATATGACCTTCTCCCTAAATGGCACTTTCCTATCAGCAGTCTGAACTTCGGGAATAAATGAGAGAAATGGTCTAACTAAATGAAGAACTCTAAACCCACCTCCCATCTTGCCAAACTACACCAATTTAACCTGCAACAGACAGTTACAGTGCATGAACAAGTGAATTTCCAAAGAGGGGAGAACAACAAAAACTAATACTTCAAAAGCACATCTCAGCATCCAAATGACAATTCAGCCAAAAGAAAATGAAACTAAGGAATGCAAAAACAAGACATAATATTCTTTATTAAGGGTAACAACGAGGTAGGCTGGATGACCATTATGAAACAAAATATACATACATACATACATATATATATATATATATATAAGCTTCCTTGATTATTTTGTGTTTGATCACTCGACCATGCATAAAGGAAATAATGATACTTTCCAAATCATTTAAAATTACGTTAAAAAAAGAAAAAATATCACTTTCAGCTCAAGAGAAAACTCCTGAATCAATGAAAGATTGCCACCACTTCAAGCAAACCATGCACCCCACGAATTAATGTAAACAACGTCAAATGCTTCATATATTAATTAAATTAACAAATTAAACACTACAATGATTACACAATTTTAACTTTTGTTACATGCAATGAACAACAAAAACGAGGCAATACAACAAGTCCTTATCTGTGGAGTTTTAAGAAATTATAATTAGCAGGTTTCGTGTAACCAGAGACAATCACATATCACCCACATTCATCACCAAACAATAAATGAAATAAATAAACAACGGAGAAAATCATGCGAAGCAAAACTACATTCGATCAAGCTAGATCTGCGTCAACGTATTTGAGGACAAACAGTAAAACAAACAAATCCAAAGACGCTCACGATTTCAAAACCCTAACCATACGACACCAATCGGCAATTTCAGCATACGGAGATCGAACGAAGCCAAAATCGACACAGATCTATGAAGAGAATTGGAGGAAACAAATCAAAGAAAGACAGAATTTACCGATTCGTTGAAGATCTTCAACCGATTGAGAATTTAAAGGAAAAATTGAAAAAAAAAATTAGATTCCGATTCCGATTCGGAATCAGAGTGGTGAAAGAGGAAGGAGAAGAGGTTGGAGTTTCGTTGCTATGGTGAGGAGTGGATCTGAAGAATGAAGGTTTTCAAATTCTAATAGGAGAGAGTTGCAACTTTGCGTCGCCAGGAGGGAGCTGTACGTGGTTTAACAAATTATATTTTGACACGTGTTCTGTAAGGGTGACGTGGCAAGAGTGGCCATATTTGACTAGCTTGTTATCGTTTTCCTGGGTCAAATTCTTTCAACTAACCCATTTTTCGGAATTTTAGGCGGATAAAGCGATGTAATAAAAGATCTATGCTAATCTCTTTTAATAAATAATTTTTTTATTGATATTTTAAATTTAAAATATTATTTTAATTAAGTATAAATTTTAAATCTTAATATGCTTATATAAAAAATTAAAAAAAATAAAAATATTTTTTAATTAGATAATACTAAAAAAATTGAGATTATTTCAATCTTAATATATACAAATTTAAATTTTATTTTCAAAACTTTTAAATATGTACGGGTATTATTAAATTAAAATATTTTTAAAATAAAAATAAGTATACATTCTAAATTTTTAAAAGTTTAACTAAAATTAGTTTTTCTGTTCTCCAAATTTAAGTTCAATTTGATTATTTTTTTAATATATTTTTGGTTTAATTTATTTTTTAATTTTTACAAATATTTTAAATATATTTTTTTCATTAAAATTGTTAATTTTGGTAATTATTTTTTTGTCTTTTTCTACCGCATCTACTCTTTTATACTATTCATGATTTTCTTCTTTAATTCTCTACGTTATTCATTGTGTTTTTTTTTTTTCCTTTTCAAATCTTCAATTTTGTTTTTCTTCTTGGGTTCATGCAATATTCTATAAATGATATATAAAGTCATTTCTTGTGTCAACATGTAACCAATCAGTTCTTATTTGAACTTGGTTAATTAAGGTTAGGTTTAGGTAAAGAGATATCCTTACGATAATTGAAATTGCAATGTCCTTCTATTAATATTTCTTTCTCTATTTTTACTAATCATTTATGCTAATTATGTGTTAAAGTCTTACACTAATTTTTTTCTACATGCAAACACACTAATACTATTCATTAACATGTCACTAGAGTGCAAAATTTATACATACATTCTAATTCAGTTAATTATTCAAATATATTATATAATATCACAAAGTTAAGAGAAGACTAACTAGAAAGTGTACTAAATAGTTGTAGCAAGTAATAAAATTTAAAATTCAGTTTGAGTTCCAAGTATCGTCCTCAGGAATTAGTTTTATCAATTACCACTTTACAAATCAATAACTAGTTGAGCTAAACAAAATTTGGATTGTTTTGAATCATTTAAGAACAAAAGTAATAAACTATAGAAATCAGAAAATAACAGCAAAATAGAATGACAAATTTAGAAATGAATTGATGTGTGAATAGAGTTAGGACTGATTTCACCTCTTCATCATATGTAAAACGGAAGTAGATCTGAACTCTAAGTTCCTTAATTGATTGATGATCAATTTCACTAGATTAATCAAAGTTCAATTCCTTGACTCATTGATCCTAATATTCAATTAACTACCCTAATTCCTTAGGTGTAAATCAATCAAATATTGCATTAGGCATTGAAAATTAAGAGATCACATGATCACGAATTTTTATCCCTAAGATATCCATAACCTTGACATTCAATTCAGATTTGAGAAATTAACTCAACTTCCATTAATAAAAATCCTCTAGGTTTAATTCAATTGAATAGCTAATTCAAGAATTGCATTAAGGAAAGAATTAAACGTTTAATACAATCAAGATCTTAAAATTCAGATTCACAATTAATTTACAATATCAAAATCGAATCCATCAATCTATAACAAAAAGAAATTAGAACATGTTCATAGAAGAAAAAGAGAGAAAGAGTAGAAGAAGAGGAGCTGTAAAATTTCTTCATAAATCTAATTCCCAGCCTGATTTCTCAAGGTTTAGAGCTTGGAAGTCGCCCCTAATCTCCCTCTCTAACTCTCTTAAGGTGTGAAAATGAAAAATAAGAAAAAGATCCCAAGTTTCTGAACTAATATCTTATTTATAGAATTTTTTACCTTTCTGACATGATCACTATTTTTCATAAAAGTAGTAACGCAGAGGTTCGTGGTCTGCGGGTGTTCACTTTCGTGAATAATAGGAGTCACGTGCAGCTTGCTTTGCTAGAAGGCTCTCTGGAATTATCACTTTTGTAAACAAAAGTGATCACGTGCAGTTTGTTTTGCTAGAGGCTTCTCTAGAACAATCACTTTTGTAAACAAAAGTGATCACGCGCAACTTGCTTTGCTAGAGGCTTTTCTAGAACGATCACTATCATCAATAATAGTGATAACGTAGGATCTCTTCTTCATGAGCATTGTCACTTTTATGAGAAAAGTGATAACACATAGGTCGACCTTCAATATTAGACTCTGGAACGATCACTTTTGCAAGGAAAAGTGATCACGCCCAACTCTTGCTTCACCAAACCTTGTTCCTTGATTCCAATTTTGCTACTTTGTTCTACTTTCTCTCTTGATCCTCCAACCTTATGATTCAGCTCTACAAAACTAACAAAATTACATTAAAATTCTATCAAATTCACAAAATTTGAATTATTAAAGATAACAATTTACTTTATTGAACATTTATATATTTTTGTGTAGCTTTCACTTTCCAAATTACATTTTCTATCAAAAACAACCTAGAAAACTACATAAAAACCTAGTAAAATCTGCATTTATCACATAACAAGAGAAAATGAAGGTCTAAAGGAAAGTCTTAAGCACACATAATGTACATTGATGATTTCTTAAACAACACGTTTCTCTACTCTTTAGCCCAGTGGGAGGAGGATTGTTATGGAGGCCCAGATAAGTTATTGTGTGGTAATAGGGGAAACAAAATCTCAACTCCAACTTCATTTTGAATAATTACAGGAGCGATGTTGGGATTATTATAATCTTATTTGTCAACCCTAATACTGAATGTCATGCATTTATTAAGGATGAGAGGTATGCCCCCATAATTTATTATGCATCCATTACATAATTAAAGGACACAAAACAAGGAAATGTGAGTATAAACATTTATAAATCATATCACAAGGCAAATACTAAATGCTTAATAAATAAAAGAAACAAGCTATCAATCAATCAAACATTTCAATGTCTTTTATTTATGTGTTCTCCATAGAGTAATTAATTATCCATCACTTTAATTTGGGGTTGAAGATTAAGAGTTCTATGCCTGCAATCCAGATAATGTTATAGGTACAACATCATTCACTAGGAACATATTTTTTAGTGCACAATTTTCACAATTATGAACATTTCCGACAATTCACACTTACACGAATCAAGAGATGCTCGAGTACTAGTCGAGGTAGCATAACATTTGTCCCTTACCGTGACACATGGTAGCTAGTCTTGGCCTCTTCCTAGTACTTGGATACCTTACTATCCCATTGTTGGATACTTTAACCAATCACTTTTTGTCTGATGCTTGTGTTAAGCATTTTTAATCACTTTCATTGTGAAATTAATTCACAATTAATCACAACCGCCATTAGTCCATTTGGTACGCATTTAACATGAACATACATCTCTTATATAAGAGAGCAAATCATCATTATGGACATGACTATTTTTTAGATATTTCTAGATTTCATGCATCAACTTGAAAAAATCATAACTTCAATTGGATTTAGAGTTAAATAGAAAAGTAACATAACGAATTGAATGAGTAAACTCATATGTCTTAGGTCCCTCTCCTATAATTTCAACCAAGAAGTGTGTTACGTTACTTGTTTTGAATTCAAATGATAATTGATTTATTTTTAATCCTCCTTTATATTTAAATTCTTATATTTTAAGCTCAAATAATAGAATTAAGAAATTCTTGGTAATTGGTAATAATCTCTATGGAACGATAATTCAAGAACTTATTTTAGATCCTTTATTATTTTTCGACAAGTACACTTGGCCCAAACAACTATGTATACAAATTCTACACAATAAAGTTATTAAAACACATTCTCACATAGTTGCTAGCTAAACACATATTTTGCATAATCACCATGTCGGGACACACATTTTGCATTATTAATTAAATAAACATGCAACATTCTGCATATTGACCTAGTCTACACACACAAGCTAATCATATTCTCCAAAATTATTAGATTAAGACACACATATACAAAATCTGCATAATTAACTTAGTTAAACACATTTTGCATTAACATGTTTTATCTAAGCATTTACTTATCTTTTATATCATTACTTATCTAAGCATTTAGGTGAGACTTATTTAACATATCTTTAGTTATGCACTTTTTTTTCCTTTACCCTCCTCGACACCTAACATCTTCTTAATGGTAGTACTTTAAATTTTTTGTTGACGTCAAATTCTCTTCCTCACATGCACTTTGTAGTTCAGGCTAAGATAATTAATAAACCACTTAGTCATTATTTTTACCTAGTTTCCTCCTTAGTCATATCTTTCTCTCTTTAATTGGTCTTTTACTGAGGTCTAGTTTGGTTTCAGTCTTAGGTGTCTCTTGATTCTCTCTCTCCTTTAATTATGATCCTTGACATTCAATTTAGACTAAAGTAATTATCTATGTTACTAGTTGTTTGTTTGTGATCATTCTATTCAAACTCCAAAATTTCCCTTGTGATTTCCTCTCGATTGCCCCACTTATCATCCTTCAAAATGAACTTTGATTAAATCCTAAATTTTCCTTCACTAAGGGTACTTATATGTTGTTCTACTTTTGGCTGAATTTTCGTCTACCTAACACATATTTACCTCTCGATTGCTGAGAACTAAGGACTATAGCTAGACAGGTTTTAAGTATTAGTAAAAGGTCTTTATTTATACTATAGAGACAAAACGACAGCCCACTAATCTCTCATTTAGGGGGTCACTTGGCAAAGGGGTGACCTAAATGAAAGGTTAGATAGAGTTATTACAAATGTATTATGGAAATATGCTTTTTTTTGCTAGTTCTCTCATAAATGTTGTTATTCTCAAATTTGATCATGTTGGTCCGTGATTAA